TGTGTCATTATGCAGGGAGGGGGGATTGCCCTGCCCTGTGTCATTATGCGGGGAGGGGGGATTGTCCTGCCCTGTGTCATTATGCAGGGGGGGGGATTGTCCCCTGAGTGTATATATCTTGTATCTGTGTTAAAATAAACTAGTCACCTCCTGGTTTACTTCAAGTCTGGTGGTCTCTAGTCCTGTATGGTCAGCGGTGGTGTCCGGGGATCTGTGTTCGGACAGGGAAGTGGTATTATAACGGAAATACCCAAGTGCAGTCTGGGTCGGTTCCGTTAGATTGGCGCAGTCGGGGTCCGGTTCCGTTACATTGGCGCAGTCGGGGTTGGTTCCATTACATTGGTGCAGTCGGGGTCCGGTTCCGTTACATTGGTGCAGTCGCGGTCCGGTTCCGTTACATTGGTGCAGTCTGGGTCCGGTTCCGTTACATTGGTGCAGTCGGGGGTCGGTTCCGTTACATTGGTGCAGTCGCGGTCCGGTTCCGTTACATTGGTGCAGTCGGGGTCCGGTTCCGTTACATTGGTGCAGTCGGGGTCGGTTCCGTTACATTGGTGTAGTCTGGGGTCAGTTCCGTTACATTGGTGCAGTCGGGGTCGGTTCCGTTACATTGGTGCAGTCGGGGTCGGTTCCGTTACATTGGTGCAGTCTGGGTCGGTTCCGTTACATTGGTGCAGTCTGGGTCGGTTCCGTTACATTGGCGCAGTCGGGGTCCGGTTCCGTTACATTGGTGCAGTCGGGGTCCGGTTCCGTTACATTGGTGCAGTCGGGGTCCGGTTCCATTACATTGGTGCAGTCGGGGTCCGGTTCCGTTACATTGGTGCAGTCGGGGTCCGGTTCCGTTACATTGGTGCAGTCGGGGGTCGGTTCCGTTACATTGGTGCAGTCTGGGTCGGTTCCGTTACATTGGTGCAGTCGCGGTCCGGTTCCGTTACATTGGTGCAGTCGCGGTCCGGTTCCGTTACATTGGTGCAGTCTGGGTCCGGTTCCGTTACATTGGTGCAGTCGGGGTCGGTTCCGTTACATTGGTGTAGTCTGGGGTCAGTTCCGTTACATTGGTGCAGTCGGGGTCGGTTCCGTTACATTGGTGCAGTCGGGGGTCGGTTCCGTTACATTGGTGCAGTCGGGGGTCGGTTCCGTTACATTGGTGCAGTCTGGGTCGGTTCCATTACATTGGTGCAGTTGGGGGTCGGTTCCGTTACATTGGTGCAGTCTGGGTCCGGTTCCGTTACATTGGTGCAGTCGGGGGTCGGTTCCGTTACATTGGTGCAGTCGGGTCGGTTCCGTTACATTGGTGCAGTCTGGGTCGGTTCCGTTACATTGGTGCAGTCGCGGTCCGGTTCCGTTACATTGGTGCAGTCTGGGTCCGGTTCCGTTACATTGGTGCAGTCGGGGGTCGGTTCCGTTACATTGGTGCAGTCGGGGTCCGGTTCCATTACATTGGTGCAGTCGGGGTCGGTTCCGTTACATTGGTGTAGTCTGGGGTCAGTTCCGTTACATTGGTGCAGTCGGGGTCGGTTCCGTTACATTGGTGCAGTCGGGGGTCGGTTCCGTTACATTGGTGCAGTCTGGGTCGGTTCCGTTACATTGGTGCAGTCTGGGTCGGTTCCGTTACATTGGTGCAGTCTGGGGTCGGTTCCGTTACATTGGTGCAGTCGGGGTCGGTTCCGTTACATTGGTGCAGTCGGGGTCGGTTCCGTTACATTGGTGCAGTCGGGGTCCGGTTCCGTTACATTGGTGCAGTCGGGGTCGGTTCCGTTACATTGGTGCAGTCGGGGTCCGGTTCCGTTACATTGGTGCAGTCGGGGTCCGGTTCCGTTACATTGGTGCAGTCGGGGTCGGTTCCGTTACATTGGTGCAGTCTGGGTCGGTTCCGTTACATTGGTGCAGTCGGGGTCCGGTTCCGTTACATTGGTGCAGTCTGGGTCCGGTTCCGTTACATTGGTGCAGTCGGGGGTCGGTTCCGTTACATTGGTGCAGTCGGGGTCCGGTTCCGTTACATTGGTGCAGTCGGGGTCGGTTCCGTTACATTGGTGTAGTCTGGGGTCAGTTCCGTTACATTGGTGCAGTCGGGGTCGGTTCCGTTACATTGGTGCAGTCTGGGTCGGTTCCATTACATTGGTGCAGTTGGGGGTCGGTTCCGTTACATTGGTGCAGTCTGGGTTGGTTCCGTTACATTGGTGCAGTCTGGGTCGGTTCCGTTACATTGGTGCAGTCGGGGGTCGGTTCCGTTACATTGGTGCAGTCTGGGTCGGTTCCATTACATTGGTGCAGTTGGGGGTCGGTTCCGTTACATTGGTGCAGTTGGGGTCGGTTCTGTTACATTAGTGCAGTCGGGGTCGGTTCCGTTACATTGGTGCAGTCGGGGTCGGTTCCGTTACATTGGTGTAGTCGGGGTCGGTTCCGTTACATTGTTGCAGACGGGGTCGGTTCCGTTACATTGGTGCAGTTGGGGTCGGTTCTGTTACATTAGTGCAGTCGGGGTCGGTTCCGTTACATTGGTGCAGTCGGGGTCGGTTCCGTTACATTGGTGCAGTTGGGGTCGGTTCTGTTACATTAGTGCAGTCGGGGTCGGTTCCGTTACATTGGTGCAGTCGGGGTCGGTTCCATTACATTGTTGCAGACGGGGTCGGTTCCGTTACATTGGTGCAGTCGGGGTCGGTTCCGTTACATTGGTGCAGTTGGGGTCGGTTCTGTTACATTAGTGCAGTCGGGGTCGGTTCCGTTACATTGGTGCAGTCGGGGTCGGTTCCGTTACATTGGTGTAGTCGGGGTCGGTTCCGTTACATTGGTGGCAGTGGTGGGATTTTGCTTCCAAGCTGTGAACACGTCCAAACCACCACCGGGATCCAAGATCAGGTAAGGAGACGTCGGTCACCCCAGGAGAGATATGGACCTGACATCAGAGTTCCCGAGGCTGCTGCGGATCGTTCTTGCACCATACCCCAGGACTGTGTCTGCGGATCAGTACCTGGAGCTCAGGCAGCGGATTTGGGAGGTGCTTTGGAGAGGAGCCCTCCAGGTTGCTGGTATGGACAAGGACAAGTGCTATCCAACCCCAGGGGAACGGGCCAGGGACCATCGGAAGTTACAGATGCCATTCCTGGGAGAGCGACCCCAGGAGCAATGGGTGACTGAGTTGGACAGGCTGGTCCAGCAGGAGATAGAGCTGGATGACCGATATTGGGCTCTGCAATGGTACACAGAGCAGGAATATTTCGGGGTGACAACAGAATGCTCTCCGGAGGGACATGACTTTGGTGGCCCTGGATTGCTGTGGGAGATACTTACAGATCATTTTGTGTTTGGCGATGAAGGAGAACCTACTCTGGAGGACCTGCGAGAAGACAGAGAGGCCATGTTCGGTCTCAGAGGGGTCTCAGAGCTTGAACCAGATCTGGAATACCTGCCGATGAAAGAATGGCATCTGGAAAGGGCATACAGGCAACTGCTAGAACATGTTCAGCAGCATGCCCAAGAATCGGCAGTGGAAATTCCAGAGACAGGGGATCTGATAGACTTCTCTGCTGAGGAGGAACCAGCCGGCACGCCTCCAGCAGAAGAGCTGACCTCAGGTCATGGCGTGGTTGACCTCTGACCACAACAATCAGCACCGCAGGAGCTACAGGAAGAGGATGCAATCGGCACCTCACAACGGCAGCTTGAGCTGATCCATGGATGGGACTTCGGTCTCCACTGACACAACCCCAGAAAGGGTCTGGCATTGGGACAGGAGGAGGTCAGCCTTACTTTGCAAACACTGGGGGAGGTCCATCAAGTCAAAGTGGAGGAGACTACAGTCACCACCTGGATACCCCAGGGATGCCGGACAGTCGGCCCAGATCCCCCACCGCATGATGGAGTCAGCCCAGCCATCCTGTCTTCTCCCCAGCGGCTGAGAGGACTTCAAGGAGAAGGACCAGTCCGTACTCTCTCCTTCTCTCTAGTTCCCTGGTCTCCTCCTCCCATGCCCGCCTCCAGGACTTCTTCAGGGTGTCACCCATCCTCTGGAACTCCCTGCCCCAACCCATCAGATTATCACCTACTCTCCTCTCCTTTAGGCGCACCCTGAAAACTCATCTCTTCAGGGAAGCCTACCCCACCCCCCCTGCTAACTTCCGATCTCCTCCACTCTTTCTACCACTCCATCCCCCACAGCTATCTCCTCCTGTACCACCATCCCCTCCCTCCTAGATTGTAAGCTCCCAGGATCAGGGCCCCTCGATCCCCTCATGTATCACATTGTATTGGTATTGTTCTGTCACATGTTCTGTCCCCCTCTGTAATGTACAGCGCTGAGCCAACTATCGGCGCTTTATAAATACTGTATAATAATAATACTTCTCCCCAGCGACGGGTATGTTTTATGCAGGGAGGGGGGATTGTCCCCCGAGTGTATATATCTTGTATCTGGGTTCAAATAAACTATTCTATTTCCTGGTTTACTTCAAGATTGGTGTCCTCTAGTCCTGTATGGTCAGCGGTGGTGTCAGTGGTCAGCGGTGGTGTCAGTGGTCAGCGGTGGTGTCGGTGGTCGGTGTTCGGACGGGGAAGCGGTATTATAATGGAAATACCCAAATGCAGTCGGGTCGGTTCCGTTACAAAGGTTTTCCTTTAATCTTTTGGAGCCGTGTAATCAGGATAGAGGAGGGATATATACAGTGCTGTGCAAAAGTCTTAGGCGGGTGTGATGCTGTAAACAAAGAATTCTTCCAGAAATCAAAGTGTTAACAGTTTTGTTTTTAGTCAATTAACAAAATGGACTCATCCCAACCAATGGCCACTACTCCGTACTCCTCCCAACCAATGGCCACTACTCCAATGGCCACTACTCCGTACTCCTCCCAACCAATGGCCACTACTCCGTACTCCTCCCAACCAATGGCCACTACTCCAATGGCCACTACTCCGTACTCCTCCCAACCAATGGCCACTACTCCGTACTCCTCCCAACCAATGGCCACTACTCCGTACTCCTCCCAACCAATGGCCACTACTCTGTACTCCTCCCAACCAATGACCACTACTCCATACTCATCCCAACCAATGGCCACTACTCCGTACTCATCCCAACCAACATCCACTACTCTGTACTCCTCCCAACCAATGGCTACTACTCCGTACTCATCCCACCAACGTCCACTACTCCATACTAATCCCAACCAATGGCCACTACTCCGTACTCATCCCAACCAACATCCACTACTCCGTACTCCTCCCAACCAACGTCCACTACTCCGTACTCCTCCCAGCCAACGGCCAGTACTACTCCGTACTCCTCCCAACCAATGGCCACTACTCTGTACTCATCCCAAACAATGGCCACTGCTCCGTACTCATCCCAACCAATGGCCACTGCTCCGTACTCATCCCAAACAATGGCCACTGCTCCGTACTCATCCCAACCAATGGCCACTACTCCGTACTCCTCCCAACCAATGGCCACTACTCCGTACTCATCCCAACCAATGGCCACTACTCCGTACTCATCCCAACCAACGTCCACTACTCCATACTAATCCCAACCAATGGCCACTACTCCGTACTCATCCCAACCAACATCCACTACTCCGTACTCCTCCCAACCAACGTCCACTACTCCGTACTCCTCCCAGCCAACGGCCAGTACTCCGTACTCCTCCCAACCAATGGCCACTACTGTGTACTCATCCCAAACAATGGCCACTGCTCCGTACTCATCCCAACCAATGGCCACTGCTCCGTACTCATCCCAACCAATGGCCACTGCTCCGTACTCATCCCAACCAATGGCCACTACTCCGTACTCATCCCAACCAACGGCCACTACTCCGTACTCCTCCCAACCAATGTCCACTACTCTGTACTCATCCCAACCAATGGCCACTGCTCCGTACTCATCCCAACCAATGGCCACTGCTCCGTACTCATCCCAACCAACGGTCACTACTCTGTACTCATCCCAACCAATGGCCACTACTCTGTACTCATCCCAACCAATGGCCACTACTCTGTACTCATCCCAACCAATGGCCACTACTCCGTACTCATCCCAACCAATGACCACTACTCCCGTACTCATCCCAAGCAATGACCACTACTCCGTACTCATACTACTAGACCTCTCTAAAGCCTTTGATATTGTTGACCATCCCCTCCTCCTTAATAAACTCCACTCTCTTGGCCCCCGAGACTCTGCTCTCTCCTGGTTCTCCTCTTCACTCCCTCTTTCTGTAGGGGTCCCTCAAGGTTCTGTCCTTGAACCCCTTCTCTTCTCCATCTACACCTCCTCCCTTGGTCACTTGATAAACTCCCATGGCTTTAAGTACCATCTCTATGCTGACGACACACAAATCTATCTTTCTACTTCTCACCTCGCCCCTTCAGTCTCCTCCTCACCTCACCCCTTCAGCCTCCTCCTCACCTCATCCCTTCAGTCTCCTCCTCACCTCACCCCCTTCAGCCTCCTCCTCACCTCATCCCTTCAGTCTCCTCACCTTGCCCCTTCAGTCTCCTCCTCACCTTACCCCTTCAGTCTCCTCCTCACCTCATCCCTTCAGTCTCCTCCTCACCTCGCCCCTTCAGTCTCCTCCTCACCTTACCTCTTCAGTCTCCTCCTCACCTCACCCCTTCAGTCTCTCCTCCTCCCCTCATCCCTTCAGTCTCCTCCTCACCTCTCCCCTTCAGTCTCCTCCTCACCTCGCCCCTTCAGTCTCCTCCTCACCTCGCCCCTTCAGTCTCCTCCTCACCTCACCCCTTCAGTCTCCTCCTCACCTCATCCCTTCAGTCTCCTCCTCACCTCTCCCCTTCAGTCTCCTCCTCACCTCACCCCTTCAGTCTCCTCCTCACCTCACCCCTTCAGTCTCCTCCTCACCTCATCCCTTCAGTCTCCTCCTCACCTCTCCCCTTCAGTCTCCTCCTCACCTCTCCCCTTCAGTCTCCTCCTCACCTCACCCCTTCAGTCTCCTCCTCACCTCGCCCCTTCAGTCTCCTCCTCACCTCGCCCCTTCAGTCTCCTCCTCACCTCATCCCTTCAGTCTCCTCCTCACCTCACCCCTTCAGTCTCCTCCTCACCTCACCCCTTCAGTCTCCTCCTCACCTCACCCCTTCAGTCTCCTCTCGCATCACTAACCTGCTAAGTGACATATTGGAATGGATGTCACTCCCACTTCCTCAAACTCAATCTTTCCAAAACGGAGCTTTTAGTATTCCCCCCAGCCCGTGCCCCCTCCTCCGACTTCTCCATCAAGATCAATAATACAACCATCATTCCCTCCCCTCATGCCAGGGTACTAGGTGTAATCCTAGACTCCCATCTGTCCTTCCAGCCCCAAATCCAATCGCTGTCCCAATCATGTAGACTTCACCTCCGCAACACCTCCAACCTCCGCAACACCTCCAACCTCCCCCCTCGCAACATCTCCAACCTCCGCAACACCTCCAACCTCCCAACACCCCAACCTCCTCAACACCTCCAACCTCCGCAACATCTCCAACCTCCGCAACACCTCCAACCTCCGCAACACCTCCAACCTCCGCAACATCTCCAACCTCCGCAACATCTCCCCCACCCCACCCCCCCCACCCCCCCCCCCCCCCCCCCCCCCCCCCCCCCCCCCCCCCCCCCCCCCCCCCCCCCCCCCCCTCCACCCCTCTGCCAATCCCTCCACTGGCCTCCATTCAGTGTCCTCCACCCCCTCTGCCAATCCCTCCACTGGCCTCCACTCAGTGTCCTTCACCCCTCCACTGGTCTCCATTCAGTGTCCTCCACTCCTCTCTGCAACTGAAAGTCAAAGCACTAACAACAACGTACAAAGCCATCCACAACTCCACCCCAAGCTACATCACCAATCTTGTCTCCAAAGATCACCCAGACCATCCTCTCTGCTCCTCTCATGGCCTCCTGCTCTCAGGCTCCCTTTTCTCCTCCTCCCATGATCGTCTCCAGGACTTCTCCTCAGGAACTTCCTACCCCAATCTGGGAATCTGTTTTGGATATCAAACTCATCTGTTCAGGGAAGACTAGCACGCTTCCAATGAAACATTTATCACTTCCATCAGCTAATCCCCCCCCAGTTATAACCTTCTGTACCACTTGGTCCTCCCTATTAGATTGTAAGCTCTTGTGATCCGAGCCATCCTAACCCTCCTGTATGTTATTGTATTGTAGCTGTACAGCCTCCCTTTATATATTGTAAGTCACTGCGGGAACTGTTGGCGCCATATATCCTGTATAATAATAGTAATATGTGGTGTGACCCCCTCCCCCATATCCTGTGATCAGTGACGGGGTGCCCCCCTCCCCCCATCGTATCCTGTGATCAATATTGGGGTGACCCCCCTCCTCCCCATATCCTGTGATCAATATTGGGGTGACCCCCCTCCTCCCCATATCCTGTGATCAGTATTGGGGTGACCCTCCTCCCCCCCATATCCTGTGATCAGTATTGGGGTGACCCCCTCCCCCCATATCCTGTGATCGGTATGGGGTGTATGTTACCCCAACCACTGCGTCTACACTCCTCAACGTCACCCCACCACTCCCTGCGTCTACACTCCTCAACGTACCACCCCACCACTGCGTCTACACTCCTCAACGTTACCCCACCACTGCGTCTACACACTCCTCAACATTACCCAACCACTGCGTCTACACTCCTCAACATTACCCAACCACTGCGTCAACTACACTCCTCCTCAACATTACCCCATACCACTGCGTCTACACTCCTCAACATTACCCCACCACTGCGTCTACACTCCTCCACATTACCCCACCTCACTGCGTCTACACTCCTCAACATTACCCCACCACTGCGTCTACACTCCTCCAACATTACCCCACCACTGCGTCTACACTCCTCAATGTTACCCCACCACTGCGTCTACACTCCTCAACATTACCCCACCACTGCGTCTACACTCCTCAACATTACCCCACCACTGCGTCTACCCACTCCTCAACATTCCCCCCACCACTGCGTCTACACTCCAACATTTCCCACCCCTACACACTGCGTCTACCTCCCAACATTCCCCACAGGTAATACAACTGCGTCTACACTCCTCCAACATTACCCACCACTGCGTCTACACTCCTCAACATTACCCCACCACTGCGTCTACACCACGCGTCTACAACATTACCCCACCACTGCG